AAACATAAAAATAATGAATAAGATTAATTAAAACCCGAATGTTAAAGTAAGCAACCATGTTTAAATGGAGGATTGTGAGGTGCGCATATGCCCTTCTTCACTCCTAACCGAACCCTCGAACCTCGATCTCTACGCAGACCCGTTTTTGGCGACTTGTCCCACCTTCTAATTTGGACGAGTGGTGACTCCCTCTTTTTTATATTTTTCACTCTTAATTTTTCATTATTTTGAAAAAAATCTTAAGTGGTCGTCAACAGATTGACAACTCCACTGGGGACAGAGCCCAGAATCTCTGGTTTCTATATTCTGGGCTCATGAGGGTCGAGCTAATACTTTAACTTTGGGGAATTGTCAACCTTCAATTTTTTCTGTGTTTGTTGAGTCTTTGTGGGTCTTTGTTATTTATTGTATGTGTTTGTTGTGTGTTGCTTGTTGTTTATTTGCTCATTGTTTTAGTGGTTGCTTTGATCTTTTGTCTGAGTAGTTACCTTGCTACATCTTCACATGCATCATACCTTGCTTGCATGTTCATGCATCATATCATTTCACATGCTCATCCATCATTGATATAACATGCTTATTCATCATGCATCATACTTACATGCCTACCTGCTTGTATGTGGATGTACTAACTTTTTGCATTTGGCATGGGAGTCCCTTCCGGCTATGTAAGTAGGTGTATTTGTGGATGTTATATCTATTGAGTGTTTATATGCTTTATCTGCTTATTGTGAGATACATGTTGCTATTTTGTGGTTGCCATTGTGCAGGTTATCGAGTGTCATGCCCCTTGCACACACTCACTCTCATTTTGCATAAGGTTCGTGTCGGAGGTGAACCCGACCTTTAGTCTGGAATCCTTATGAATCTGGTTTGGAAGAGCAATTCTTCCCGCTTTGAGGAGTAAGATCGGTTGCCATTAGGTTGTTTCCATTGGTTAATACCACACTTGATGATGTAATATCATTCTGTGTATTAGCTTTTGTAAATATCTCCCGTTGATTCCGAAAGGATAAATGGTTGAGAAGGCCTAATGCCCTTTAGGAAAACATGTATTGGCTTTAAAGAGATACCAACCCTAGGACATGTTTCCCTTAGCATCTCAACCGTGAGGTTAGGATCCTGTGTCTAAGACACAAAGGGGCATTTTTCTTTACTAACTTTGTCTCCGCACATGACAGGTTTTTGTTATTATATACATTCGAGGTATGATTAGTTATTCATCTTCAGCATTTAGACATCATTCTTAAGGTAAGGAGCATTCCATGCACTTGGTATCTTCACTTTCAATCCCATGCATCAAAAAAAAAAAAAAGAAGAAGAAGAAAAAGTTCATGATTGTTTCACATGTCATATATCCATCCCATTCGTTTCACATTTAATTGTCCATGTCTTAAAAATTTCATGTCATATGTCCATTGCATTGCCTTTTCCATCTAATGCATCACAAAACATGTTTTCATATTCATCTCATGTGACATTCTCCATTTTGTTCATTTTTACATTTCATTTTTCATCTCATATTTCACAAAAATTTACAAAAAAATGAAATTCCAC